GTGCCTATCTCCAGCTAACTTTCTGGGCGAGAGGCGGGGTTCACCCTGGACAGGTCGCCAGTCTGTCGCAGGGCTACCACCACATTAACAATATTAAATAACGTAACTTACCTTCATGCCATTTCCTGGTTTAACTTATAATTTATGGTTGTATAGCACAATATGGACATATGTGAAGAATCAGGCTTGTACTAAACTCAATTTTTGGCTAAAACTGCCCATATTCCGTACCAACAACATAAACCAAAGCACTTTGGGTTATAAAATAACCAAGCTTTTTGTGTGTATGTGCTCATATATGTATATATAAAATAAAAAAAAAACGCCCCTTTTAAAACAACATATTTGTCTTGGTACATTAATGAATACACTTAAGCAATTTCATCCATTTAGTTTCTTTTCTTTAAGATTTTTTTGACTCTAGTGGCCTTTATTTGAAAGTGCCAGGGCAGGAAAGTAGGGTAAAGACACACACGGCAAAGGTCACCAGGCTGGGAATCGAACCTGCGACAGTAAGACCTCCTTACGTGGGGTTGTGTTTAACCCCTGCACCACCACAGCACCCACAACGCCCCCTTTAGTTTCTTTTGGTGCCGTCAAGCACAAGGTCTTTGAGTGTATTTGTCTGCACCGTATGAATGCCTAACAAAGACTTTTTCCTCTCTGCCTCTTTAGCATTGTGCGCTTTGGTGCCAACCATCTGGTTCCCCATCGGTGCCAACCAAGAGCTCGGCCTCATGTCTTTCGGCTTCTCCCTCTACGCCGGATGGGTGGGCACCGTTTTCTGCCTGCTGGGCGGCGTGATGCTCATGTGCTCGTCGGACTCCTCTGCCTCCTCTCCACGCAGCTACCAGGACAACAACCACTATTACTACTCCAAACACGGAGGCGGCAGCCTGCCAGCCGCCTCCTCCAACCATCACGCCAAAAGTGCCCACGTCTAAGGTTGGAGACGCCGGCGGTCCCGCGGGGATTCTTTGTACATAGAGACATTTGCACAAAAGGCAAACATTTACGACGTCCGTGTTTTACCGTACGATGTGAAGGGATGTAGACGCAAACAGCACAGAGATAGAACATTTAATTACAAACAGTTTGATCCTTGTTTTTGTCCTAAAGTGCCAATTTTCCAACCTCCACACAAAGAGGTGTGGCGCAGACTCACCCCACTGTTACATAAATGTACAATCTCATAATAACAAAGGTTTGTCTAATGAGTACCCTGGTGACCGAATCTCATCAGGGTCTTTGTCACCGAGTACAATTTTAAATCTCTTTAATATTTTTCTTTTGATCAAATATGGGTGTGGTTGTTGTGTTAATTTTTGTTTTAGCTAAATTGTTCTTCTGTACATGGATTTTTGTTTTTGTTTTTTTGGGGACAGTATTACTAACTCCTGAGTGATGGACTTGATTAAAACGATTTAGCGCTGTGTTCAGCTAGACCTGACGTGAAGGTTTACCAAGCAGAGTTTATATCTTTGTAAAAGAATTGGAATTTACAGAGTAAATGTTTTTGTTGTTGTTTTAACAGTCAACAAAGAGCAAAAATTAAATGTCACGTTTCAGATATACACTTTTTTTTTAACTAATTTTGTTGTTTTAGGTGTAATGATCACTTGTTTGACAAACATGCGGCATTAAAACATTTCTTAACCACACGTCCTAGTGTCGAGCTGCTATTTATGTTTTGCAGGCATGTAAAAAAAAAAAAAACTTTTATTAATTAGTTTATTTCTTAAAACTGTTACAACCAATGGATGTAATTTCTGAATGGAACTACGCCACTAAAATATAACAACTAAGTTCCTGAACTGTCGAAATTGGAGGATCCTTCTAGTCTCTTATATAGACAAACCAGACGTCTGAATACTAAAAAACACAAAACACTACCAGTGTTAAATCAAACCATGTCTGGTTCTATTTGCAGACTGGTTTCTTCTGAACTCAGCGGGGGTTTTTTAAGAGTGCAATTTTCTCATCTGCGGTATTCTGATGTGATGTTTTTGTTTAATTTTTTTTTATCTCACTCGTCATGTTTTAAACAATAATAGAAATTTGCTTGCATACGTAAAATACCGCGTGATGCGATTTCCGCTGCAGATCGGTGACTCGCATTGACTGTCTTGACATATCCAAGTCTTTGTGCGAACAACATTAGCAATTTGTGGTGTATTTCTGTAATCTCTGTGACCTTGACTGAGATAAGCACAGAAGAATCTGTCCCACAGACTCAGCCTCCCAGTCTCTTCTGGTAACCGCACACACACACACACACACACGCACAGTGGGTGATAACTGTGCCTGATGCGTCTACTCCTTTGCCCAAATCAAGGTCGCTGAGTCACTGCACAGACGAGAACATCGTGTGATTTCTCTTTGTCGTCAGCTTATCTTTAAACGGATACAAACGCGCTCGCACATCACTGATCTTCACTCGGTTACTGTTTCATTTTTACCTCTTCTGTGATTTCCTGGCATGTCTGCGGTTGCCGGTATGTCATCACAGCGTCTGAGCGTGTGTTCCCTGAAAAGGGGAAGCCATTCCTGGTATGGAGCCGTCGACTTCACAAGAGACAGATGGAAGGATCCTGAGCAAATAAGCTGTCCTGTGTTGACGGAATAATGATATTTAATACACTATGATTAAACACATGGCACAACTCCCCAGCTCTTTATGCTTATTTAATTTTCTGCTCGAGTTTCTAGGATCCATAAGCTGTTGGTTAACTGCGTTGCATCGGGAACCACTGCTAACCTGCTCTTGTTTCTGAAACTAATGAAAGAAGTACAAAAATGATACTTTTTAAGCATTGCAGTAAGAGGCCCAAGTAAAACAGAGCAAATCATTTCGCTGTTACAGTTGAAGAAAATGGCTCCCACAGCATGACGCCGCCACCTCTTTGTTTCGTGGAGAGACTTGCTTTCCTTCACATAAACTGTGGCGTCATTCACGTAAGATAACAAGTCAAATTTACATCCCATCTGCCCAGAATGCCTTCTTTCGCATGTTTGGTGAGTTTAAAGGCCAGACTTGTGGAACCCGCAACTTACATAATAAGTTGCTAGTTATATAATAGCTTCTTAGCTACTCTTACTTGTGTTAATTTAGGCGAGTCGCACATTTCCTTAAGATTTATGTTTTTTTAATTATCCTTCCATATTCAGATAATAGACTGAACACTCCTTCTTGAGAGATTCAAAACTCATAATATGGTTTAATATCCTGACTTTGCCTTAAAATCTCATTTCTCATTTCCATTCCCCCCCGCCCCCACCCGTAGCTCCTGTTGAGTTTGTCTTACAAAAAAAAAAAAAAATCCTGAGGATCATTACTGACTACTACCTTGGTCTCCTTTATTTTGAGCATGCAGACCTGAAAATGTTTTGACGTAGAACGCTTGTATGAAAAGTGCAAAAAAAAAAAAAAAGCTATTAATCCAAAGGCAACGTTAGAAATCTTGTTGGAGCTCACTCTTCAATTTCATCGTCCGAATTTGAAGAGTTAAAATAAAGATTGGTAGAAAAGAATTAACTACAGATTTTCGTCTCGCTCGTCATGCAAACGCGACATAATCTGGCTACTGGAAAAAACGGTAACCCTGTATGAACTAAAACAGGAAAATGTTTGAATGAACGTCGGTGCAATGCAACCATCTGGTTTGAAACTGCATGCAAGACTGAACGTGTGTGCACTTTATATTCCGTGACTGCATGTCTCTATTTATTGCATATGTCAATAAATGAACAAACCTCTGTTTAATCTTTGCAATAAATAACTTTTCATTAATACATGGAAGCAATATTAACAGTTCAGCAAAAAGAAAAAGAAAAGAAAGAAAAGAAAAAAATTGTGCACCTAGGATAAAAAGTAATCACAAATTCCAAAGAAACAAACACAACAATAATATACAGCTTTGTGGCAAATTTACAGAAGAGCAACAGAATATTTAGCCAACGCGAGGGAAGCCAATCTCAACAAGTCTTACACACACTGACTGGACACTTGGCCGCAAACACTGAACATGTGCAGAACATGGCATTCCTTCTCCAGGACAAAATCAACACAGAGTAGCTGACTTGAGAAGCAACAGTGGCAAAAGTCTAGATTATATAATTTTTAAAAAAAAATGTAGTTTAGCTCTTATAGCCTGATAATAAAATAATTTCCAGCCTTGTTTTTCTCTTCAGTTTGCCTAAACCATCTGAAGCCCTATCGACATCTACAGCAACCAATTTGAAGACAATTAAAGAAATTAGCTCTACATTTCTAGAGACTACGTTTATTCAAAAAATAGATTTTAGCAGTTTATATCAGGCCTCCTTGTGATTAAAGAAACACTCATGAAGCACAGACCGATAACCCCACCTAGTTCGGCTCGGCACACCCACCCGAGGAGGTCGTGTAGATGGGAAACAGCTGTAGAAAAATACTCTCTTTTTTTTTTTTTTTTTGTCGGTCACTCTTCTTTAGCATTGTATTTTGTGTCTGGATCGTAGCTTTTGCTTGTAGCTGGTGACTCACAGAAAAACATTGCATTTCCTAATAAAAGAAACCATGGGTGCTTGTTGTAAAATAGCTTATAAGCTGATCATACCAAGGAAGTCGGCACTACTGCAGATAAGGAAACTTGATTTCTGTAAATTAAAAGTGAAAAAAAAAAGTACTTTGGCTTGGTTGTGGTTGAGAGGAGAAATTCACATAAAAAAACAGAAACAAAAACTGCTGGGTTGTTTCTTTAATCGGAATGCCAGAATAATGCTGTTGGGTAGGTCAAAATAGGTGAGCAAACGAATTATGTTTTTTTTTTTTTGGGGGGGGGTAAGAGAAGTTCTGAACTACACAAAGAACTGATCAAAACTTCTTCAACAGGACGAAATAAAAGCTAGTAAGATGTGAATTGTTTTTTCTACGTGTCTGAGCCAAATGAATGACAGACTGTGAATCCATAGTTTGACTTCCCTTCCAATCACCACATCTGTAGCATCGGTTTGATGTGACTTTTAGAGCCAAACAAAACTGATCCCGTGCAGGAAAGTGAGGATTTCAACTACGTCCTTTCACTACCACATTGTTTCACACGACCTCTGCGACGCCACCCGGTATGGTGGTAACCCACAACCAGGTTGTGGTGAGCTGGTCCATGTTTGACTTTGCAAAAGGACCCCAATTGGTCTGTTTTTAAACCCAGCAGTTTTCAGTGTGTATATTATGGATGTATGACAAAGGGTGTGAAGGAAGTCAGCCAGGAAATCAGACTGTTTGCTACATAGTTCTGTCAAATGGAGCCGTGGTTTCCATACCTAGTGGAGTGAACAAGTGGGTTTTTAAATTTTAGGTTGGAATAAATATAAATATATATTTAAAAAGAGAGAGATTATTAGACTGAACAAGAGAAGAATCCTAGGCAGTGCTTTTGGTAGCTAATTTTTTTTTTTTTAAATAAAACAAACAAACAAAAGAAACTATGTGTTTCATCCTCTGAAACAAACCAGGGCTCCAAGGCAGAGAAGAACTAAGCCCGAATTTGGTTTCGCCAAAATGTCTATTGTGTCCCGTTGAGATCCGTAACCACATGCAAGTACAATATTTAGAAACTGAACCTTGTGCACAAGAAACATGCTGGACATTCAGCAGACGGTCACATTTAGGCGCAGGCGTGGAGCACGAGCGGACGTCAGAACACACAGTCACATACGTCTGCACTGCACATGCGTTCACAAAGTCTTTGATTCAAATATACAGAACAAAAAAAATAAATAAATGAATAAAAAAAAAGATGACTGTACAGTCCAGAATCTGAGACGTGGAATCAAATGAATCTGCATGTTTGTTTTTGGCTGTGACTGTAAAGCTTTTGAAAGTTTTGAACAGAGACGGGGGAGGAAACTGATGTGGTCATGTAAGATATTCCAACTGAGCATAGGGGTGGGCGATATAGTCAAAATATCACTTTTTTTTTTTTAATAGTAAAATCAAGAGCAAAAATTTTCTATACAAATGCAGTTAAAGAAAAAAAAACATTTAGGTCAGAGAACATTACTACAAAGATATTTTTTCAGTTTACCTTAAAACCTAATTTCAAAGACAACTCAAATAAAGAGCACATTTTCTACTCAGTTGTGATGTAATGTAAATATTATATCAGGATTAGTCGGTTCTGTCTGAACACAATCTGAATTGATAAACGGCATCAAACCAAGCCTGGTTTGATGCTTTTTGAGAGATTCTTTGGCTTTTGACCGCTGTAGCCACTCAGACGTTTCTTCTGTCAAACGTCGAAGTCTTTAATGTCAATGTTACCACCACCTGTTGGTGGAGCACACCTATTAACTTCTATTGGTTTTATTTTTTTCCTGACAGTCTAATAAGCTGTAGACATTCACTTTTTTCCAACAATATAGAACAAAAGCATGTAGAAGTGCAGGTTGGGTCTAAAACTGATAGTGAATTTGGTATTACAATACTAAATTCTAATTCTTCACAATTTGACGTTGTTATATCGCCCGCCCCTAGCTTAGCGATATAAAAGACAATGAACTGCACGTTTCAATGTGTGCAAAAGCCAATACTTGCAGAGCAGAAATAGTTGCTAACTCTCCAGGATCTCTGAATATGTTCATTTCTGACGCAAACGTGCTTAAAACTAGACAACCGATGGTATTTTAGTTATCCTCAGCTCTGATTTCTTAATTTTAATTTCATTTAAAAAGGAAAATTGATGAGAAAAATCAGTCCTTACAATAAACCAGATCATTGTGATGTTCAAATCCTTACCTTTGACGAGCCCTGGTTAAATACGACAGTAAGTTCATGAAACATTTGCATAAGAACGTTCCTTTAACATTTCCAGAACCGCAAAGAAATTCCTTTTTGTCTTTCAAGCTTTTGATGATTACGGTGGGGGGAGAGGAGGACAGGTGGGAGGTTGTTCAGCGTGGCATCCTTAGATTTAGTGCAACAGACAAATAAGGCTTCCCTGAAAGGGACCAATGCAGCAACGGGGGCGCACAAGGAAAAGGTAGAGGGGCAACAATCGGGGCAGACAGCAGCACCAGAAGCAATTGAAGGAGCATCCCTTACCCCCCACACCCACCCTCAGCGTCATAGCATAACAGTGTGCTATTTGGTTGTTTGTAAAAACCCCACTTACTGTATAAAGAAATATCTCTGCATATGTTTCTTTTTTGATGTAAAGCTCTTTCTCCAACAAGTGCTTGTCTTTTATTTTTAGCTGCAACAACAAGCCCGCGTTTTGAATGCAATAATTCAATCTCTTTGGGACGTTGAGACAAATGTCTATATATGCAACACACATAAAAAAAATAAAAAAAAATAAACTACAAAAGCATAAGGGTAAAAGTTTAGCTCGGGACAACACTTGAGCCGAACTGCCAGCAGCAAAATGAGTGCTGGTTACGAATCAGATGACGGATAGCGGAGACTATTAAATCAAAAAGTAGCGAGCGAATCGACAGACCATAAGCAGATTGCTGTTACGTTTCCAGAGTGCAAGCCGATCTCTGGTGGCCCATTACTTGCGACTCGGAGAGGTTACTTTCTGCCGACATGGCCCGATTGATGTCAAGAGGGGAGGGAGATGGTAAATGAAAGATGAAAGAGCTGGGCTGGAGAAGAAAACGTCAGATGGAAATTTGGAAAGATAAAGTGACGGAAAACCGTGAAGGAGGAGGAGAGAAGAGATTATATAAATAGGAAGGATTCGATTTCAGCTTCTCCTTTCTCCTCACCGATAAAAAAGTTAACAAAAAAAAAAAAAACCTTTCCAAAAACTAAAGAGAGAATGAATTACTTACAGGTCTGACAAAGAGAAAGAACCTCATAAGCTCGAATACAAAAAGCACACAGAAAACACTGCAGGTCGCCCACTAGGATTCTACCTATTCTCTCTGTCTGTGTCTGTGTACCGGGTCTAATCTCTACAACTTGATTGGCAATTCACGTTGCACATTTTGTTTTTGGTAGCAGGTGGATGGATTTCACTTCCATGCGAGGGGGAACAACAAAACATACTTTGAAAATAAAAAATCCTGAAGAGCCCACTCAGTGCAAACACGGACAGAGAAATTCACATGAAACTCAAATTTGAGTGCACTTACTGTACAATGCCTTGTAAAAGTATGTACACTTTTTTTTTTTTTTTTTACATTTTCCAAACTTCAACTTTCTGTACTGTATTGAGAATTTGCGTGATAGACAAATACAAAGTAGTGCGTAGGAAACATCAGAGAACAAACAGCATCGTGAAGAGCAAGAAAAATGCCAGTCAGGGCAGAGATGAAGTTGTAGGAACGACTAAAGCAAGGGTAGGCCAAAAAAAATGTCTTAAGCATTTGAAGATTACACAAAGTTCTGTTTAATCCATCAATCAAAAATGGGAAGAATGACACAAATGTAAACATATGAAGACTTGGCCATAAACCTAACCTAGCAGGGGAGTATTATCAGAGAAGCAGCCAGGAGCCCCGTGGCAACAATGAAGGAGCTGCGGAGACCCACACCTCAGGAATAAGAATCTGTTCAAATGGCAACTATTAGCTGTGAAGTCCACAAATCTGGGATTTAGGGAAAAGGGGAGAGAAGTAGTAAGCTGTAGGAAGTCCCATTTGCAGTTTCCCATCAACCTTAGGAGACACACCAAACATTTGGAAAATGGTTTGGTCAGATGAGGCCAAAATGTCTGAACACCCCTCTACTCACCTCCCACCCGACCATGGTGAATAATGAGCTAGAAAGAGTTGAAGGACAGTGGGTGGAGTTAAAAAAAAAGGGAAACCTGAAAGTTAACTTTTATACATAAAACAGCAGGGAAAGACTTTCCAGCAATTCCAGATCTTCCAACAATTCCAGCCGGAGCTGCAAAGGATTGGTTTGACAACAAATTCTATTTTGTTTTGCTCTGTCACTTAAAACCCAATTGAAACAGGCTGAGGCCTGTAATTGGAACATATCAAAAATATGGAAAGTTCAGGGTTTGTGAATACTTTTGCAAGGCACAGTACAACAGAACGCACACATACACAGGCCAAACAAAAAAAAAAACAAAAAAAAAAATCAAAGTAGAGAACTGACACGACCAGAAAAAACACACATAGTTGATGAAGGCACTATTACAAGCAAAGTCCAAGAACTAGTCGTCACAGAAAACATCGACACCCTTTACCCCAAATCCCCCGGTGGAAACCCCCTCAGGCTAGATGTTCAGCTTAGGTTTAAGAATGTGTTTTAGACAAATTCTTCAGGTTTTTGTACAAAAGCTGACAACAGACAGAGTTAGACTTCTTTGCCCTCGGAAGGCCTTTGTATTAATCGCGCTGCCGTGATAGTTTCCTGTCTGTCTGCCTGTGCTGGAACAGGAAGACAGTTGCTGACTCATCTACGACCCTCTCATCACCCTTCATTTCTCTCCTGTGCCAAAGTTCTTGACTACACAGTTAAAAAGTTGCTCGGTACAGCATGTCGTTTCTCCACTTCCATCACCAAAACACAAATCTCCCACTTTGTTCGCACTTTTCTCACATGTTGATTAAAGAGTCTGGATCTGTGAAAGCGTGAAGACATTTATGTCCACATTTGTGTGTGTGTGTGTGTGTGTGTATGTGGAGGGGGCAGCATCCTAAAGCAAAGTTGACGAAGGTAAAAGACAAACCGTTGTACTAACCAAAAACCATCTAGCCCGGGGGGGTTTGATACCTAAAACAAATACACACTCGTGCAAGCATGCAAACACACGCACACACACACTCGCACGCCCCGTAATCAGTCGTGCGCTCGCACACCGCCCCTTCCCCGTCCCCCAGGCAGCAGACAAGGCAGTACATTCAATGTAACACAGACGTCAGTCCCCTTCAGAAGTCCATGGGATCCTCCTCCGCTAGGCCGTTGTTAGCAATGGTTCTGCCTCCACCTTTCGACGAAATCCCGTCACTTTCAGGTTTCGCCTTTGGAGGCGGAGTCGCCTCTAATCCCCCGCCGGGCGCGCCCCAGGCGTCAGTCGCAGGCGGGTAGAAGTCGTCGTCGAAGCCGCAGAAGCCTTCGTCCACGCCCTGATCGTAGCGCTGGTAGGTGGAGGCGTGCACCTCGTTCTCTCTGGCCGTGATCTCCAGAGTGCTGTTCCACATGCCGTAGCCGAAGTAGATAAGCACACCTTGAAGGGACACATGGAAACATCTCACTGAACGCAGATGTTCAGCGTGAAGTAACGCCCCATATGAAGTAACGACCCGTATGAAAGAGCGGCCAGGAGGAGTGACTTTTTCCACCGATATCTAAAACGCTCGAGTATCAAATTTTGCACAAACAATCTGAGATCGTCAAGCAAATATAAGTTTCATGCGCAATGAGGAGCTGTTCATTTTTACTGAACATATAAGCATGATGTGTCATGACCACAAAAACTGAAATGCAAATTAAAATCAATCTATTTTTTTTTTATTACTTTTAACCTTTACTTGTAAAGAACAGCTCAAACATATCTAACACTTTGTTCTAGTTTTCCTTATGTCTGTGTGAATCTTTTAAATAGTACTCCACCAACTTTTGTCACATTACAATCACAGACTTCAATATGATTTAATGGGATTTTATGTTCCGATACAAAGAATATCAAAGTGTGCAGTTTGCTACAAACCAGATTGGCTGCACAACAAACAAGTGGAACAAGGAGGTTTGGTAAAACACAAATTTACTTTTTTGTCCTTAACGCATAATTTGTACTGCACATTACCCGGAGCAACCGCTTTGTGTTTGCATGAAACAACATGAAGAACTGGAAAGCTGGTGTAAACTGATACAAAGTTGGACTGAATGAAATACAAGGTAATCCTGAAAGAAAGCTTGGAAAAAAGTTGCTAAATTATTGTGATTTGGTTAGGACGACGACCTCAGACATACAAGTTATGTAATGGAATTGCTTTGATCAAATCGTTCGCCTGTGTTGGGATGGTCTAGTTAAAGTCTGGAACAAAATCCTAACAAGAATATGTGGCAAGACTTAAAACATCTCTGTTCACAGGTGGTCCCGTTAAATCTAACTTATCTCAATGTAATTTACAAAGAATAATAAGAAAGAATAGATTATTGTTGGCTTTGATTCTACAACGAGTGCCACATTTTTCACACCTTATTTGGTAAACTTGCCACTGGGTTGTGTACTCTGCCAATAAAATAAATTTGAGATTACGGCCAAAACGTGATCAAATCTGAGAAAACAAGCAAAATAGAGGAAACTACAGGTTTTACTCAATAATTTTAAAAGAGGAATTGCACAGTTTAAAAAATTAGCTTACAACCGAGGAAGAAATGAAAAGAAAACCCGATACGCTTTTGTTCCGGCTAAAGAAATAAACATCAGGGTTTCTTGGCAAATCGAGCCATTAAATGAATAATTTCTTCTGTTATTGGAAATAATCTGAGCAGAGTTATTGCTTGAAACCAAAACATTGTTTCTATCTGTCCTGGATAATACCTGGATTCTCTCCGCATCAAACCTTTTTTTTTTTTCTGGCAAACAAAAAGTCTTTGTGAAAGTGTCTGCTTACCAACGAGGCACCAGATTGAAAATCGAATCCAGGTGATGGCAGAGAGCTTAAGCATGAGGTAGATGTTGACCAGCATGGCTGAAGCAGGTACGAACGGCACGCAGGGAGCCATGTAAGGCAGCCGCTTGGGGTTTTCTGGCTGCTGGAGGATGATGATGATCAGCAGGGCAATGAAGATGATGAGGAAGATTAGTAGCAGCAAGGCCCACCAACGACCCTCTGTGATAAAGTCAGCTCCTGAAACAGAGGGAACAAACTGTGACTGGATGTTGCGGTACCCTCGTACCTTGGACGAAAGCATCGTCGATTTGTTCCTACCAAAAATGATGAAGGAGCAGAAAGCGAAGAACAAGACGAACAGCAGCAGCACGCACACGGTGACAGTTTTCCCCGTGACCGGAGTTGGCCTGTCCATTTTCCCAGGGAGGCCTAAACGGATTCTCAGCGTGTAGTAGCGAGGTCCGATCAGCTTCTTGAGCCGTCGAGACATCCCTCCTTCTGACTCCTCTGCTTCGATGCCGGTTGCCATATCCACCGTGCCGTAGTTGGGATGGCTGGCGCTGTACGCATTTTTGTCTGGTTTCCCAATCAGCATCTCGTTGTCGCCCAGCGACGGCAGGTTTTTGGCCCCGCAGGTGTTCGTGGTCTGACCGCCGTACTCGTCGGCCTCGCTGGTCGGCGAGCAAGCGTCTTTCTCGCACTCGGCCAGAATCCCTTCCTTTTTCTTCTTCTTCTGCTCCTCGGAGAGAAAGTTCACGAAGCCGTGGATGTCGCCCTCGGGTTGGTAACGCAAGAGGAGCACGCAAAGGCTTACCTGCGCAGAGAGAGAGAGGAGTTTGTCTTTTTTTCTTTATTCCCTCTTAAGTTAACATACACATACAGAAGCTATCCTGCATTTATATTAAATAATTACACCTGCTTTTTTTTTGCTGATATTTTATTGGCCCCACACAGATCATAATGTCTCCATTGCTAAACTCAGTCCAATTTGCATACTATATTTTGTATACTGCTATTGTGTCTTGTACCTTCAGACATTTCAGCATTTAAAAATGACAAACCTCTGTCGTTTCCATTGGGATTTTATGTCTTAGACAAACACAAAGTAGAACATTATCGTGAAGAGGACGCAAAATAACGCACTTTTTTGAAGGTACTTTGAGTTGGCTTATCACAAGACATTTTCAGTAAAATACAATAAAATTTGAGTCTATTGTGTGATTTAAAAAAGTGATAAAAGTACAAGTAAATACTGCAATAGATCACAATGCCTCATCTCTGTGTGGTCAATGCGGTTCAGTAAGCATTTTTGTCTTCTTCCATTGTTAAAGTAGCTCATAGAAATGACCTATAATGCACCGTTGTACTGGTGCTGAACCACTGGCATCATACAACACAGTCCATTGATTGGAGGACAGAAAAACGCCACTGCTTGCACCAAGTATGAGACATGCTGGTGCATTAGGTTTCTTTTTGCACTCGTACAATGCACTGTTAGCTATTTGGGTTTAACCCTGCCTGCTGGCGGTGGAAAGCTCTCCTGAATATGCCGGGCCATAAAATGGCGAACCCCACCAACTCAGGCTCCATACAGCTCAATGCAAACAAGGCATAAGTTTAGTTACGGAATCCAAAGCAGCTAAAGAATTGAAAGTTAAGAAGGACAAAAGCAGAAAAAGAAGGCGTCCTCTTTTGTGGTTAGATGTTACACATGTAAAAACACGTTCCCAGCACCGGTACTTATCACTCACTAGAGTGTAGGCCAGCAAGGTGCCAATGGACATCATCTCTATCAGGTCTCTGAGGCTGACCAGAAGGGACAGAAGGGCAGCCAGAAACCCAGACACCACACAGGCCACAGCAGGGGTCTCCGTGTATGAAGAGACGTTGGCCAGGAACCTACACACACAGAGCGGTGAAGATACGTCGTTTCTCCAGATGCGAAAACTAAACGACATACAGCAAGAGCACAGACTTACTTAAACAGAAGACCATCCCCTGCCATAGCATAGATGACCCTCGGCATGGGGAACAGGGACCCCAGTAGGGACACAGTGAGTCCAGCTATGGACCCCACAGCTACTATGTATTTTGCGAACATGCAGCCGTGCCTGGAGAACATCTCCATCAGCGGGGCGTCTGCATCGATTTCATTGTACGGGACCATAAGCGTCAGTATCACAGAGACCTGCAGGAAAGGCACAAATAATGCTACGACCTTTAGCTTTTGACAAAGATGAGGACATTTAACCATTTTACATGCAAAAATACACAAAAATAGAGCGACAAGCCGTCAAATTCTCACTGAAATATGAAGCAAAAACCTTTCATGAAAGAGAAAAAGGAAGGACGTTTTATTAGACTCTAGCTGCTGCTGAATGAGAACTACAGTCTTACAGTTTGGCTTTACAGTAATATTGTGCTCGGCTCTCCCCATCGCATGCAAATTGCTCATTAGTCGTTATTCGCTCTCTTTCTGTGTGTGTGTCTGGATGTTTTTGTCCTTGCGTCTGATGTGTGAAATCACGCAGGGCCATCTGTCACAGTGGCTGTGCTGCAAAAGAGCTGGATTTGCATAACCGCCACAGAAAAGAGAGAGTGATTAAAAAGATGAACCCCACACAGCTGAAATAAAGAAATGTGTTTCAATTAAAGATTTAGCCCCCCTGGCAGGAAATGCCATTAGCAAATTTTTTCACCACTGCTCTGTTTGGAAACTACTAATAGCTCAGCAAGGATACACGATGGATTATTGGTACCTCTGATAAATATGTTAGACAAGTTAACAGGCATAATGTCACCCTGAAATCATTATTTTTTTAGTTTAAAAAAATAAACTAAAAAACTGATTCTTTAATCAGGAAAAAAAATTTAAGAAACAAATATTATTTTGTTAAAAAAACTCACTGGCATTTATTACTAGTTTTCATTGACTTTTTTATATTACTTGACTGTTTAAGTTGATTAGAGTAATAAATAGTTGCTTTCTGTTTCTCTGGAGTTTAAATATTGTGTAGGAGAAAGGCACGTTTTTTTTTTCTAACTCTCCAAAACAGGAAATATAAAAGAACCTGAGGTAGATCTATGTTGCCTACAGTAAGTGAGAAACTGGTGGATGACAATAGGTGCTTTATTAATCTTGCCTATATCCACAGCCAAAGCAATAATAATAATAATCACAAAAAGTTTAAAACAACCAGAACACCGACATGTTTACCTCATCACCACACAAGTCGAGGTGGTCAAAATGAAATAAAAATAATAATGCTAGTATAAAAATGTAGAAAAGCGCCTGATACCTTGTCAGGTGTTATGGCATACATGGTTGTACAAAATATTAACAGCAGGGGTGATGCATTTAATTTTATGGCTGAAAATTACATCAGAAATGTACTTAAAAGTTAAAAAAATTTCCAGCATTTTCAGCACGATGTTATTCTACTGGAATAAAATCTGCTGAATCTTTAGCAGAGTGTCAGTAAGTCTGGCGACATAATTATTATTATTATTATTATTATTATTATTATTATTGGCACAACTATTGAAGATAGTAAATATTAGCACCACAGAGTCCCGTCTCCTGTTTTACATTAGATGCAGATGGAATTGCTAAAAATATAGTTGCTAAAGGTAACTGTAACTCATTGGAAGGAAAATTAGGGATAACGCTTTGGAGCTGTGCAGTTTATGACCATTCTTAAATAGTAATGACCCTAATGATCACCTAATCCTTCAGTTAAGCTGGAGCAGTGAAGTCCTCACCAGTAAACACAGATTATGTAGGATCTTACTTGCCTTAGCCAGCGTAATCGAGGTTCTAAAAGTATAAAATCATCACACTTATTCCCTAAAATTTTTGAATTTTTGAATTTTTCTCCAGATCCATTCTAAAAACCTTTCGTCATATCAACCAATCATGTTATGCTATGGTTATTTCAGTAGATATTGTCCATAAGCTAATTATTATTTACAAAACAACAAATATTAGAAAGTATTTACTATAAAAAAAAAGCCTGTCTGTGTTTCAAGAAAAATTATAAAGACCTCAGCCGACAAGCTTAAACTCAAATTGGTAAACTCAATTTTTTTTTTTTTTTTTGTAAAAGAACAGTTTGTCCCTCACTACCATTATAAGTCATTTAATAACAACAACCAAAGAATATGATTATGAATACTCATCAGAGAAACAAGTGAAAAATAAGAACTTCTACCGTCGTAGAAATTAAAAAATGTTTGCTACAGTCTGTAACTCCAGCATCTTTCAGAATCTCTGTCACCAGAGAAATGAGTCAGTAACTTCACTCTAGATCTACAGTAACCCTCGCGGGAGCAGGAACGTTTCTCCCGGATGCCGACAGTGTGAGGCAGATCTAAGAAAGGCAGAGGTTAAAAATAGGGGAAAAACATTTTCCGAGCTCATGGCAGGGGTAACGTGTGGAAGCTGATGTGACAGGGAGACGCGATCTAAAGCTGATGTAATCTTTGCTTCAGGTAAAATCTGAGAAAAAAAAAAAATCTTGTGTTTTAATTGGTTGATATTCCCCAGAACCCACAGCAGCATCCATTCACTACACACAAGGCGACCCTGTGTTGTCTGAGCTGAATACATGATTGTGGTGGAGATGCACTCTCCCACGTTTGGCTCTTTTCTTCTCTCTGTCAGGAATGCGACATTCGGGACGACCTTCTCAGTTTGTATTCATGGGATTCAGGGGAACTGAAAGTAAAAGTTGAAATTTAGGATGTGAAGGTCAGGAATAAATATGAATTTATAACTGGAAGCAAAACATTGCTTTGTCTATACAGAAATGAGAAAAACGCAGGACACCCGTGCCCATATGTTTTGCTATAATATTTAGATGTATTAATGTTGTACTGTAAGATTACAGTGACATAAGTAAGCAATAAAAATAAAGACTTTTCTTTTCTTCTAAAAACTGATGTGGGGGGGGGAAAGTTAGGATTTCACATTTTGATTTCATTTAAAATTACACACAGACATAACACCAAAAGTGAGGATGATCAGAACATCCGTACTCTTAATTGAATTTGGCGTAGTCATTAATGGCAACCATGGTGATATTATGGTTTTCAGAAGAAAATTATGAAGGGAATAATAAAAAAATTCCAAAAAACAAAAATTGCAGCAGTGATGCTTGATAAAGAAAGAAAGAAAAAAAAAAAAAGCAAAAGTTGAGTCCAAAATACTCTTAGAGAATTATAAATCTGAAGTAACTCACGGAGACGTAGGCAGTGAGGCAGGTGATGAGTGAGGCAGTGATGGCGTAGGGGATGGAGGTGTTGGGGCTTTTGGCCTCTTCTCCTGTTGTAGCGATGATGTCAAACCCGATGAAGGCATAGAAGCAGGTGGCTGCACCCTGCATCACCTGCACCGCACAAAACGAAAGCGTAGCTCATAAAAAGATGGCCGGCCCTGCATGCACGTGGACGCTTCGGACCGTAGATGACACATTGTCAACATTGTCACTCGCATTCATGAGCGCCAGGTTAAAAAGATCTGATGATGAAATCGGGTCTTACTGCAGAATCAAAAGCTATGCATCAATGCCGATAAGTGCGGCTACGAGTGTGCATGCATACCCCTGACCAGCCAAAGGGTAGGAATCTCCCTTCGTCCCAGTTCTCTCCGTTGACAAAGAACAGCCCGGCGATCATCATGAGAACCCAGACGATGAGGTTGATGATGTTCAGCGCGTTGTTGAAGCCGACAGAGTTCTTCACTCCCAGAGCCACGATCACTGTCACCAGCAAGGCTATCAGCAGGGCCAGCAGATCTGGGTATGACTGCTCCCCTTTACCTAGAAATAACACACACATACACACACCCCAAAGCACTATGCCGTATCAATGTATTTCATTAAGCAGCTGTGGTAACAATTAGAATAAAGATTCCATGTACAAAACAAAAAAACAACAAAAGCAAACTAAATTTCAGCTTATAACTACTTCATGTGTATCGCAAATCTTTCCATTTGTGTTGGAGAGACATTTTAAAGGCCCAAAGTTAAGAGTACATTCACGAACATGAGGAGTCTGTTCACACGTTTCACCAGAACTGCGTATTTTCAGCAAGATTCCACGACTCCCCCTGGGCGGGGAGGAACAATTCACCAGCTGGACAGGACTTTTCAAATAAACCGTGGAACAGCTGGCCACGCTGCAAGCCATGTGACCACTCCCACCACGTTGTCAGTGTCCACTGGTAAATTCAGCTGGGCCTGCCAGAGGCGTGTGTAAAGGGAAGGGCACTTCATGGTTTAGCTGAGGTTACTTTGGGTCAGATGGTGGAACTGCTTTAGTCTGGCTGTGTTCATCAAAGTAAGAATCTGACAAGTCGGTGACAGTGAGGCTGACGGAGCGACGGCTCAGAAACAAAGCTGTTTGCACCAAAGAGAGCAGCCTTCTTCACATGGCTTCAAACTGGAAAGCTATGTTTGAGGCTTTATTTTCATAATTCAAGATGGAGCAGCAGATGCTACTTATCATTAGGTCTTGGCTTCTATGACTGGCAGTAAGATGGCATAGAACTACTCCTGCCAAAATTTAGGGTAAAAGAAAAGAAAAAAAAAAGCTGAGCTTGTGTAGTTTTTGCTTTTCATCGTCAGGATGCAAAATATTTAATTTGGCCAAATCCGACCAAGAAATTTCTGCTTTTAAGTACACAAATAGCACCAAGGGAGAGAGTTTCCTAAACCTATCCAACCAGGACTGTTTTATCTGCCATTCCAATGGCTTGTTTTCTGATTCCTTGACAAAAAATAACATCTCTTTGATAAATATTTCATAAACCAAGCCTGTTTTTTTTTTTGTTTTTTTTCAAACGAACACAGGGTTGGATCGGTCTGTGTCATTTTCAGAACTGGGTTAGCAAAGATAACAAGCCAAAAGATGGAACCTTGAAACATCTCACATTAACTGACAAGCTGTGTGTTATGATTACCCAAACATGGCAAAACTAAAAACTCAACCAGTCACTATCATTTCCATTTCATGAAATTCATGAATCAGCCAACATGAAATAAAACCAATGAGCACACAAAAAGATAAAACCCAACCAAATGCGGCCTCTTACCCAAGCCGTTGAGCGTGCCGATATGTGAAATCATGAAGTTGCTGATGCTGTGATTGGCCAGAGAGTCCGCCATGCTGCTGAGAGCCGACGCCCCCGCCGCCGTGCCGATCAGATACTCCAGGATTAAGTTCCAGCCGATGAAAAAAGCCACGCACTCTCCCACGGTTACGTAGCTGTATGTGTAGGCAGAACCTGTGGTCTTAGGCACGCGCACCCCAAACTCTGCATAACACACTCCTTCAGTAAAGAGAAAAAAAGACACACACACACACACACACACACACACACACACACACACACACACAGGCACCCCCTCTGATATATTGCAAGGAGTAAAAGGCCGAGTTAAGGGAACTGATTAGAACTGTAGGGTTGTAGTGAAGCGTCCCTTGAGGATCTGTCAAATTAAAACGATAATGGCGTTGACCTTGTAATAATATGCACGCTTAGTGAAGGCTCTTCGTGAATC